CTTCATCTACCATATGTTGTCGCATTGCGACGGACTTCCCACTTAGCGCTTTTAGGTGGTTGAAAATATTCGAGGTGCGACCTTCTTCGCGCGAATCTCTTGTCATCCCGCGTTTAGTTTCACCTTTACTTTTTGTCTCGACGAGTTCAGCAAAGACGATTTTGTGCTCCCGTGATGCCTCGCGTCGCTTCTCGATCGCTTCCTGGATTTCTCTGTTCTACCTACTTTTTGGCTTTCTCTTTCCTTTCCAGCAAGTAGTTTTCTTATCTTTTTCCATCTCCTTCGTCATTACGTGTAACAGCTGGCTATATTCCCAGTCTTTGTCTGGTAGTTTTTCTACTTCGTCCTCGATTCTTGCGGCTATATTGTTATTTTTGTGCCATTTGAATACGCGAGCTTAAAAACATTGATTCTATGTTCTGATTTTCAGTTTTATATCCTATTTGTAATGTTATACGTTTATGATCACTACCCAAGCTGGTAATGCCTTCCTCGCCTATTCTCTTCTCTGTAAGTTTCTCATAAACTCCCTCTGTCATAAGACAATAATCAATGCTCGATTGTCTGTGTTCAACTTGCCACGTGATTGGCCCCTCACACTTAGGCCGCGCATTAGCTATCTATTTAGAAGTAAATGCATTATCTATTTACTATCATTGACTACCTATATGTGGCGCCATCTAGCTTTGCTTAGATTGCTTAGAAAAACTAGCTGCGGAAAATCTTCTGTTCTGAGGAATTGAAGCAGTGCGATTGCCCCTCCTACGGTAAAATAGAAGGCCCGGATCATTGTGCTTACCGTTCACATCTAGCCTACAGCTAACCACCTCTAGAACTATCCTGCTTGCCGACGTTCTTTTGTTTCACCGTGTCCGCTGGTCTCCTGTCACTTGGATTTTGGGCTCGGGTCTCAGAGTCAACTGTCTCCCTTGAGGTGGCTTGCAGGTTGCTCCTCGCTAAGGGTAGGCGACCTCTTTCCAGGTTCCTCGTTCGCGTCGCGCGTACGCTTCAGTGCGGCCGTGGTGACACCCATGTCGTCCCCGCTTTCCAGGCGCGATGCCAAAATTTTTTCGGGTGGAGGGGGGGGCACCATCATGTGGAGCAAAAAAATGGCCATAATGAAGGGGTTCCCTTTAATATGGCCTTTATTATTCCCTTTAATATGGCCATTTTTTTGCTCTCTATGCCTTTGCGAAAAACTTTTTAGTGGGGGAGGCACGTGCCCGGTGGCCAACCCTTAGGTTAGGACCCTGCCACTTTCTGACGTCTCTCTCAGGGCTCTACTGCCATGTCCCTCGCAACTGGCACCTCTGCCGCCTCTACCCGTCCAAGTTCAGATGCTAACGGTGTGATGACCGGTATACGTATAAACGTTCAGAATGCGCCACCTTATGCGTTCCCCTAGGGTTGTTGCGAGGTCCCTTGGGCTGCTGGCTCCTTCAGCAGCGTCCACCGTCTAGGCCACGTGCATGACGTGTTCGGCAACCACCTCGCTCTTTGCTGGTCTTGTTGCAGAGGCATAGGTTCTTACACCCCAAACAACACAAATACAACCTCAATACCTTCTCAGTATGGCTCCTTGAGGAAATTATGACGCCCTCAGAAGGAAGGAGGAAGGAAGGAGGAAGGAAGGAGGAAGGAAGGAGGAAGGAAGGAGGAAGGAAGGAGGAAGTGCAGGAGGTTAGCCAGTTTTCAGACCGACTGGTTACCCTGTGCTTGGGAAGGGGATAAGGGGAATAAAATGTGACAGAAAAGAGTCGTTAAAGGGGAGAAAAAGGAAGAAGGACAACAGTACGATCAACGACGCTGCTACAGTCTGTCTCTAAGACCACATGGCCGCAAGAAGTGCAACAACGCTCGTAATGCCTTGCGTGCCGAGGATGGTCTCGGCCAGGGTCCTGATACCTTTTCTTCCAACAATTGGCGATTGTCAAGTCTATCTATAACTTTCGACAGGTCTTTTCTCGGCCCACTGAAGCGAGGACACCCACAGAGATGATGGAAAATTGTCTCCGCGCAGCCATAGTTGTCGCATGTCGGGCTGCTGGCCATTTTGATTTGAAACGAATAAGCATTCGTAAAGGCCACCCTGATCCACAGACGGCATAAAAGCGTCTCTTCAGCTGTGGTTATTTCCGACGGAAGAGGTGTTGGTAAAGGCGGACGTTGGTAAATGCCGTCAGATTCCACTGAGCGAGTGTCAGTTCTCATGCAAGTGATCGAAGCCTTGTAGCGGCGTCCGTTCTTGATAATAGTATAGCTTCACAAGGGGCATCATCATGAGCAGACTGAGCGACTTCATCTGCATGGCCGTTTCCATCGATCACGCCCTCAGAATGTCCTCTTTTGGTACTATAGAATGACACTAATGCATTTTTGTTTTCCGTGTGCATAACAAACTTAGCACATCTTCGGTTCAGGACATTTTCAGTATGTTTTGAAAACAACCATTGCGCGGTCGGTGAAAGCCACCTAGAAAATTGGTGGCTTTGGCTTGGTTCGGTACTGTATAGGATGTGAGTATACTTAGGCTTTCCTTCTTTTCATGCTATTTACATATATCAAAGGAAAAGCACCTCGGTGAGGTCTCGTGTATGTGTGCTGTATCAAGTAAAAGAGAGGTGACAGTGCTTGACTATGACAGTAAAAGAAACAAAGCTCTTTGCTTGAAATTCATGTATTTTAACAATATTTAGCCACCACTAATTATAAAAACAGCTTTGTCAGGTATTAAAGTTAGACTATAGTCTGAAAAAAGGAAAGCAATAATAAGGTGGTCAACCCAACTCAATCACCCATATGCTTATAATGTTCCTCAAAAGTTTCACACAGTGTCCTTATCACCACGTGTACCGTGCCCAATGCACTCATTAGCGTTAGATGCTCTGACAGCCTACTATAGGTACATTCGACTAGGGCCTTGAGTTGACTTGCCAGAGGTCGGCTACCATGTGTCATACGCGAAAGTCGATTCCTTGACGTCGCGACCATGTTGCTTCGAAGCACCACGATCGGCTGGTGTCCTCTGCTGCTTCAACGCACAACTCGCCGTGGTCAGTTGGTACCTTTACATCTATTATCAGTAAGAATGTTGCTCAACTTGAACTCGGTGCACCCATCAACACGGCCGTTTCCTCTGGTCGTCGCCTACGATTCACGGATTCACACATCTCCTTTTAGCTACACTCTAAAACAGTCGAGCATTTGGGAAGTGTTTCTACTACACAACGATAATCGTCATCTACTTCGAGTACTTTCCTTGCATTATCATCACAGTTTCCGTGGTTCGTGGTCGCGAACGGTGAGCTAGTTAATCATTGGCATGACTAGCATTATCGACAGGAAAATGGCAAGCGCCCAGTTTTCAAGAAAGGAAACGCGAGCAATTAGTCAGATGACAATTATTGTTGTGTAGCAGAAACACTCCCCATATACTTGATGTTTTTTCAGAGTGTATGCACATAAGCAGCAAAGGACACCAGCCTTCACAAGTACACCACACAGTGCCAATTTTTCTGAAATGGAACACGAGAGAGCGTGCCCTGCGCGTTTCGGCGGCGCTGGGGGTGGCAGCTCATTCAAGCTGAAGCGAATGCGTGGTGAGCGAAAGCAACCACAGCCTCTTTTCGCGCCATATCGAGGCCAGT